GAGAAAGAGAATGAACACTTTTTAAGAGAAAGAGAAAGAAAATGAATTTACTTTATTTTTTTATTTTACTTTACATTCTGGGATATATGTGAAGAACGTGCAGGTTTGTTACATAGTTATACATGTGCCATGGTGGTTTGCTGCACTTATCAACCTGTCATCTATGTTTTCAGCCCCGAATGCATTAGGTATTTGTCCTAATGCTCTCCCTCCCTTCCACCCCACCCCGCTACAGGCCCCAGTGTGTGATGTTCCCCTCCCTGTGTCCATGTGTTCTCATTGTACAACTCCCACTTAGAGTGAGAACATGTGGTGTTTGGTTTTCTGTTCCTATGTTAGTTTGCTGAGGATAATGGTTTCCAGATTCATCCATGTCCGTGCAAAGGACATGATCTCATTCTTTTTTATGGCTCTGTAGTATTCCATGGTATATATGTGCCACATTAAGAAAATGAACATTTAAGTGCCACCTATGTGCACAGTTGGCACCATAAGAGTTATAGGAGTGTGTAGCTCTTGTAGACTCAGTACAGCTTACTGAAGAAAGTAATTCACTTTGCAAATGATACCTCATGTAATCCCCACAAAAATAATTTGAGGTATTATCCCTTTTTTTGCAGATGAAAAAATTGAGCTCACAGAGGTTACAAAATTCATATAGTGTCATGCAGCTAAATTAGAGAAAATGTCAATATTTAAACCCAGGTCCCTTCCTCTAAAGCTCTTTCTTTCTATTGGCATACACTTCTAACCTCACAACTCCCAATATTTACATAAGTGCTTTATATTCATAATCTAGGAGGTTAAAATTAGGCAATGCAGTTACTTGCATTGTTTTGGCCATTGTATTTTCATACACCCAAATATTAATTATAAGCGCTTTTTCTTACAGTTCTCTTCATTACACAGTAGCCAAAATAGATAAAATGTGCTTACCCTTGCAACTCTCCCATCGGGCTTCCCTACACATTTGTCTGTCTCGCCCAAACATTCAAAATAGGGACAGGGACATCAATAAACACACTCCTTCTACTCATGCTTCCTCTCTACTTCCTCTTAATGGAACCGTTGAGCCTCCAGCTAGGGAATCAGTTCATCTGGTCTATCCTAGCCTTTTCAGACATTTCAAAGCTGTGCCTCCCCAGGACTTCTTTGGCATTCCCAGGGCACTGTCACCACCTCCCTTCCAAGACAGCTCCCCAAGGGTCCTTTGTAGCCTCTCAGGCAGTCTACGTGGCACTCCCTGCGAAGTTCCGTCATGGGTTGACTGGGCTGAGGTCCCTGGTATTTGAGAGAAAATTAAATGGTCTTAACGATCATCTGCATATCAGATGAGATGTCAAGGAAGCAAAGACCTCAGACCTCAGTGTCTTTGCACTTAAGAGATAAATATCTTTCACTAAGTCACATTTCAATACCATGACTCTAGGGTTAGTGGTGAGGGAATATTGGAAATGGTTGTGTGAGAACTCTGTTTGCTGCTTCCCTTTTGATACTGAATACCTTCTATATTACGATCCATGCAATAAATCTCTTCTAGAATTTCTTCCCAGGAATAATTTTGTCTCCCTTCAAGGATAGTTATGTTTTATTTATCAGAAAAAAGCTATTTCACCCTCATATGTCCCTTTTTGCCATAGCTGCTAGCAAGCTCAGGATTTAAATTTAGTGCTCAATTACATTGATTATGTCATTTTCAGTTTCTGGGGAAAAAAATTATCCTCCCTTTTCTCCTCTATGATTTCTGAGCTCTGGAGGCACTGGAAATTTAGAAAAGGGTCCATGATATCTTTTTGCTTGAATACCAATGCTTTTTGGAAATTCTCCTGGATGTCTGTTGGTGATTAAGGAAGTTAAATCCAGCTATATCACACCCTTTCTTCTCTCTTATGGATTCTTACTAATTGAGAAGGATATCAGAACCCGTTACATTATCGGTATTATTACACAAGGCACTGGGGTTCCTAATAAATACTGTTGGGTAATGCATCTTATATACAAAGTCATATTTTACCCACACTTCTAGCACAAATTATCCAAATCTGGTCTTTAGGAGTCAGTCAGCCACACAGAGGATCATGGCTTAATCCACTTCCTATTGATGACCAGAGAGAGGAAGTCAAAGAGAGGCAGCCTCCTGGACAGGCTCTAGAACAGTACGCTAAGCCATGGCCCAGCAACTTCCCTAGGAGACCTAATAGCAGAGGTGCTGCTGAGGCCAGGCCAGTACCGGAGAGACAGAGAAACCGTGTGTGAATCGCGTTCATGACTAGTGATCGTTGCCTGGACCACCGTATGCCAGCATGGTGCAGGCAGCTCGCAGAAAGTGTTCAGCTCAGGGGTGCTCAGCTCATGACTGGTGTTCATGCCTAGTAATCATTGCCAGGACCACTGCATGCCTGCATGGTGCAGGCAGCTCACAGAAAGTGTTCAGCTCAGGGGGCTATGACTAGGCTGAAATCCTGCTTACTCTGCACCTTTTTATAATTCATTCTTCCAGATGGGGTGCCTTTTTCAAGTTCACACAAAGGCTCTATATGAGCTACAGGAACCTTTCCTTTTACCCTATTCTCATAAAAGCCACTTTTCTAGATGAGAAAGGGTAAGTTTAGGGACGGGGGAGGGCAGCTGGGAGCATGGAGCAAGTGACTAAAAGTGTTCTTCCAGTATTCTTTTCTCTTGGGGCATGGTCTCTTCCTCTCTGATTGTGGGAGGAGCCGAGGCAGTGAACTTTGTCCACCTATAATTGTAGAATGTAACAAAGAAGGATAGGACCTAAGAAGAGAAAGTGGTATCTAAAAGTAGAAAAGAAGCATTGAATTGTCACTGGTTCACAGTTCACAGTGCTGAGTGAATTGTCACTCAGCAAATATTAACTTAGTGCTTACTATGTTCCAGGCACAGCACTGGGCATTAGAGTTTTGGTGAGTAAGACAAAGACCATCAGGACACCTACATTCTGGTGTCCATTCTCTGTGTTCCCTTAGGCACATTATTTCCTCACTGTGAAATGAAGTTCTATAATGTCAGCATGGTTCATGTTCTCTCTGAGTTCCAGAATTCTTACTATATGCTTAGGTCTCTAGGAAACTTTGTGAAGGATGTTCTTTCACAGTTAATGGCTTAGGATGACATAGCCCCAGAGTTCTTCTCGTGTGTCTCATTTTAATTTTCTATCTACTTGTGTATTAAAAAATCAAAGCCATCATTCTAATCTGATTGCCCAATTATTTGCCAAGAAAAACTGTCAGCAGGTAGCTCTACTGAATGTAGGAATCCTCGCATCAACAGACTTAGATAAATAATTCAGCATAGCTGGAGCATAGGATACAGAGCGAGGAAGGACAAGAGTAAACACTGGAGAAGAAGCAAGGGCGAGCCCAGAAAGAAGCACACGAGACAGTGAAGGCATTTCTACTGTGAAATGAGGGCAATGGGGAGAATGTTTTACAGGGAGTAACATGATCAGATTTGCATTTAAGAACAGTCGGTCTAGCTCCAGTGTGGAAAGGAGCACAATTAGAAACAGTGAGATTTCCTCAGGGCCTCTGTCAGCAATTAGGAAGGACGTAATGGTGACTTGAATTAAGGAAGTGAATGACAGTAAGGATCAAGAAAAGGAGATGCATTCAAAAGAGATTTGAGAGATCAAACATATAAGACTTGGAGACTGCTTAAATATGGGAAGACAGGGGGAGGTCAAGAAAGATGGCTTTTGGCCAGGCGCAGTGGCTCACAACTGCAATCCCAGCACTTTGGGAGGCTGAGGCAGGTGTATCATATGACATCAGGAGTTCGAGACCAGCCTGGCCAACATGGTGAAACCCCGTCTCTACTAAAAATACAAAAAAGCCGGATGTGGTGGTACATGTCTATAATTCCAGCTACTGGGGAGGTTGAGGCAGGAGAATCGCTTGAACCCAGGAGGCGGAGGATGTAGTGAGCCGAGATCACAGCCTGGGAGACAAAGTGAGACTCTGTCTCAAAAAAAGAGGGCTCCCGAGTTTCCTGGTTTGGGCAACTGAATGGTACCTGTGCCCTGCCATAGGCCAATTGCAGTGGGCTTGAGGGTGAAATCTGGAGAGAGTAATTAAATGGGGCCAGAGAAGATAGAGGAAGGGACCTACATAGACCACTCAGCTCCCCTATTTTGATGCAAACTGCATGTCCATACCTGGTTGAGCTCAGGACAACACACACCATAGGAACCGAGTAAATGAATGTTGGTGAATTAATTTTATAATGTGATAATCTAAAGTGAACTGTGCTGCTGATGCCTACAAACACTGGGCTCGTCTTGAAGAACCCAGCAGCCTCTAGAAATGTCCTAAGAGAACATCTTGATGAGTAGAAGACATGAAAGCAGGACTGTGAGTAAGTCCTGATGGCATACAAATCCAGCATCCTGTTCAGTTCTGGACTCTCTCAGAGATTGACATACTCCATATAAACATCTGATTCTTATTGACTTTAATGGGATTCCCTTGCAAACCCACAGATTCTAAGTTATCCCCTAGTAGTTATAATATTTGTAGGAGATGTATTATTTTACCCTGGATTGGACACTGAATGCTGTTACACTGAATTCTGACAGTAGCAGAACACAAAACAAGATCATCTTGTACTAGAATGCCACTGTTACGTGTTGATTTCTTGTAAGCCTCAGAAAATAGGTATCTGTAAGAAAAGAGAATGTTTTAAAATAAAAGGTATTTAATTATAGTCTAAGAAATATCAAACATAATCTTCCTGTGGTATTTGTTTTGTTTTTGTTTAATCTAAGGTCAGAGTATTTTCTTTTGGGGAGGAAGGGATAGTTTTTCCCAGGTCTGGAGATTAAACAACTTAGTAGGCTTTTCACGTTCTGCTCACAAAAAGGGGATTTGCATATGAACTTGTTTCGGCAAGAAAACACATCTGAACGTATTTCATGGGAACTGTCTTTATCCACGGCAGCTTCTTTTGACCATCTTCTTCTTTTCTTCCCTTCATCCCTATAGGTCACCGGATTGAAACTGTCTCAGGACCTCGATGATCTTGCCATTCTCTACCTGGCCACAGTTCAAGCCATTGCTGTAAGATACTGTAATGCCATTTTTAGAGAGACTTGGAGCCATCAGTATACCCTAGGCCACCGGCTCCCCAAGATACAGCACATGCTTTTGTGACAGAGATTCTTAATTAAAAGATTGTTTGCAAAAAAGAAATTCTTGTATGTCTGGAAGGAAATGTTGATGAAAGGCCTCACCTGCTTTAACTAATAACCTCACGTAACTAAAAGCTGAAAGGAGTTAAAATCTGTGAAGATTATACTTGTCATTTATCTAATTTGTCTTCTAAATTTAATTAAATAGAAGCAAGCAAGCAGATGCTATGTATGCTTGCATTAAGAAAGGTTGTTAAGAATGTCTGATTTATAAAATACATTATATTGTTCACTTTGCAAAAGGATTCATGATGGGGTCCTTTAAATAGGAAGCTTCCTTAGAACATGAAAGTGTTTGTTTTTTGATAAGTAGCTGCTTAACGTGAGGTTAGGATGATTAGGGAGGAAGAGGGGAATTTACATCTAAAATGTTAGGAGTTTCTAAGCTAAAGATAAATCAAAATTGGAAATGAAATCCTAAAAGCTTAACGATTGTCTAAGGAATCTTCTTATCTAGAGGTGGCTATGGATGGGCTACAAGAGGGTTCTAATCCTGAAATCACATCCAGAAGGTTGTGTGTGCGCATATGTTACAAAGTGCATTTTAGGAGAGTAGATCATGGCCTTCAGGGTCTCACAGCAGGTATGTACCCGAAATTAAGTTATTCCAGTGAGGCTTAGCCACTTCTGAAAAGAGAATAGGAATTAACAGAAAGAAAAAATCAGTTTATCTAATTTTGATTCAAAATTTATTTTTCAGTAACACCTGTTTAAGCAAATATGTTTAATGCTATATGTACATATATGATATTCAATTATTCTGTTTCTTCACACAACTGTTTTCATAACTTTATTCCTTTAAATGATATGTATACTTATTCACACCACCAGCAGAAGTGCTTTTTTAATGCTCAGATTTATCCAGGCACCACGTATGTACAATAAAGAATGGAACTTCCCAAATAGTAATAATACTAATACTGAAGGGATATACCTTCTTTAATGCAACTGCATAGAAGTATAGAGTCAGTCAACTTGATTAAACAGCCCTTTTAGATTATACACTGTTTTACTATATCTTCCTGAAGCAATTTTCTTGTTGGTCTAATAGCTTGGCCAATTCAGTGAAATCAGTCAGATGTCTTTATGCATGGAAACTTGGTCAAAAGCACACAATTCTGACAGCTATAAAAATGCAGGAAATGAATAGTAAGATGAAAATAGAAAAAAAGTGTGCATCAGTACTAAAGATAATTATTTAGCTGTCCGGTTTTATAATAATGATAATGATGATTATGATGATAATAATAAATGAATTAAGAGGGTTTTTTGGGTTTTGTTTATTTGTTTGTTTTGTTTTGTTTTGAGACAGAGTCTTGCTCTGTTGCCAGGCTGGAGTGTAGTGGCGCCATCTCGGCTCACTGCAACCTCTGCCTCCTGGGTTCAAGGGATTCTCCTGCCTCAGCCTCCAGAGTAGCTGGGACTACAGGCGTGCGCCACCACACCCAGCTAATTTTTTGTATTTTTAGTAGAGACGGGGTTTCACCATATTGGCCAGGATGATCTCCATCTCTTGACCTCGTGATCTGCCCGTCTCGGCCTCCCAAAGTGCTAGGATTACAGGCATGAACCACCACGCCTGGCCAAGTTAAGAAGTATTTTATATTTGCCAAGCACTGTGCTAGATACATTGCACAAATTATCTAATTTAACCTTATTACGTAGATATTATAATCCCCGTTCCACAGACTGGAAACCTAAGCCTATATGTGATTAATTAACTTGTGCAGGGCCATATAGTTGGTGGCAGAGGTGGGATTTGAACCCCCAGCATTCTGAAACAAAACTAGACATGTGAAGTACGGTCATCTGCTACATAATGTTTTGGCTAACGAGGGACTTCATATATGACAGTGGTCCCATAAGAGTATAATACTGTATTTTTACTGCACCTTTTCTATGTTTAGATATGTTCAGATACACAAATATTTACTATTGTGGTACAGTTGCCTACAGTGTTCAGTACAGTAACGTGCTGTATGGGTTTGCAGCCTAGGAGCAATAGGCCATAGTCTACATAGCCTAGGTATGTAGTAGGCTATACCATCCAGGTTTGTGGAACTACAGTCTATGATGTTTGCATGACAAAATCGCCTAACCATGCATTTCTTGCAGTGTATTCCCATGGTTAAAGGACACACGACTGTACTGAGGAACTTTTGTTTTCTGATTGGTTAATGTTATTGTATAAAAGAGTCCCATAGTGGAATGAATAGTTTATATTGAAATGAATAATCTTGGAAAATCAGAATGGTGTGATACTCCCCCTTTTGAGCACATGCTAAGGGGAGGACATGAAGGATGAGGCCAAACAGGATGGACCAAGGGGCACCATCACATAGTGGTAATGATAGTTACCTTTCGTCAGACACGACAGTGTGCCAGGCACCAAACAGAGTACCTTGCCTACTGGTAGCTTAACATTGTAACCCTGTAAGTAGATGGGTTTGTTCTCATTTTACAGACAAAGGGAGGACCATTTGCCAAGGTCAAACAGCTACTGGGTGGTAGTTGGAATCTGAACCTTTCTCCATCTCACACCCAGGCTCCTGCTCTTTCCACTTGACCATGCTGCATTTTCGTTTGATCTGTTTGTAAAAGCTACATGGGTGAAATAAGCTTTCAGATATTCCTAAGAATCGTTTTTACTTAACATATATTAGAAAATACCATTAATTTGGCCAGGATTGTCTCACAGAGGTCCCTTTCCTGGTAAGAGTACTGCAGCAGAAGTCCAGAAATGTATAAATGAGGTTAAACTTAAAGAAGGCAGGAGAGGGGAAGAAAAAAAGCCAGCTACATTTTCTCAAGTACCACACACTTGGAAAATCAATCTTGTATTTAATGGGCCGTACATGTATTAAAAGCTATCATATTTATTCTGTCCATTGTCTTAATGACCTTTATAATACCATGAAAGGAAGGCATTTTAAGACAGAGATTTTTCTCGATAAGGCTTTTTTGTGGAGTCAAGTGAATTGTGAGGGTTTCAGTCTGTTTTGCAAATGTATCTCAGTGTGCTGATCTTTTAGGCAAAAAAAATGTGCATTTTAATGAGGTATTCTGATAACAGATATTTTCCCATCATGTTCAACTTCGGAAAAAATATTTTGTTTCATTAGCCCTAAATATTGCCAGAGCACGTATTTGTTGTCGGTCATCTGAAAGTTAAGCAAATTTCTCTCTATATGTAGTCATATCTTTGGGTGCTATTTTGTTGGGATGAAATGAAATTAAAGAGGATTGTAATCAAGTTAACTTGGGACTGTGCAAAACCCTCCATGAAGTAAAATTCTCTCTTGATCATGCTTAATTGAAAGACCTGTCAACCACGCAGTTTATCCATAGCCTGTTCATCTATAGTTTTCTTTGCAGAACAGACCCTTAAAAGGTACTATTTGCATTTGAAGTCTCTTGATTTGCATTCGGTTCTGTACATTCCCAGTGGAATAGCCTAATTTTAATTTAAATTTCTCTGTGAAAACATTTTTTCCAGAAAGGTGAGCACAAAATCATTTTCACACAAAGCCCTTTGGTGGGACATTTCAGTAGGGTGGAGTATTACACAGATTGGAGTCTGGGACACCGAAAGGGGAGGTCCTTTAAGGAACCGCCAGACTGAGTGGGAAATTCCAGCCGACAATACCACATGGGGGAGAGACAGGCTATCTGTCACAGCCCCTCTGGAGGGAGTGCCTCTTACTTGGATCATTTCTTTCCTTTTCCCAGGAAATGTGCTTTGTTTTATTCTTGTCTCAGGCCTGCTAATCGCGTGCCCCTAAGTCCCTGGTTTTAGAAATATCAAAGATACCAGTTTTGCCTGACATTTCCATACAAATTAGGAGACAGCTATTCTCCCATCCCATACAGACTGTATTGCTTAGTCAAATTATATATCTCCTAAGTGGGAATAACAATATGCAGGTTTCACATTTGCGTTAGGATTAGAGATGCTATTAAAGTGCATAGCAGAGTGCCTAGCATGTAGCTGATAACCAGAAGAACTCTCCTTGTTCACCTTTCGTGAACTGGACACTCTTCTACAAGTTTTACCTTTGCTGCCTACAGCAGCAGCCTTATATGGTAGGTATTATTAGATTTCATCAAGCCTAATACCACATTTTTAATTTTTTTGCGTGTTGACATTTCTGACAATCTATAGAATTTTTAACTAAGTGAATATGATACTATTATTCACATGGCAAAAAAAATGGCAATTGAGTTATAGAAAGGTTAAGGTATAAGAAATATGTGAAATATAAGAAATATGTGAAATATGTAAATGCCAGCCTGGGTTTTTTGAATTCAAAACTCATGCTCTTAGCTACTACAGATTCATGCCGTTAGAGCAGACTGGGGTTGCCTGGAATCCACAGGCATCAAATGATCCATGGTGGACTTCAGGCATCTGTAGACCTCCTGAAATTATTTATAGTACTATTTTGTATGTGACTTTTTTTTTCTGGGGAGGTCAATAGGTTTTGGCATATTCTCAAGGGGATTCATGACACCCCAAAAAGCTTAACAAAGAACATCTGGGAATGATCAGCCCTAGTTAGTATGTAGGATCTGGCCTTATATGGCACAACATGTTTGAATTTTTCTAAACACACTACATCTGTGGATTGTTTTTGGAGGCCCAGGTTTTACCTAATCCATATTTTTACCAGATTCATGAATAGCTTCAACAAACCCTAAAGACCTCTGGGCTAGAACTGCTGTGTCTTTTGCTCCTGAACTGCCCCTGTCCCTCATGATTTATGCCAAAGCAATTAGCATTTCATGTCCTATAGTTCCCAGATCACCCTCTGACCACTCCTGTTCCCAGGTTCCCCCATCCCCTGGGGTGACAGCTCCCTAGACAGCCTTGTCAAAGCAGGCTTCATTTACCCTTTACTCCCCACCCCCACAGGATGTGAGGTCAGGGCAGCATCCTGCTGACTTCCAAAACCCTATTCCTCACCTTGGCTAAACTCACTACATTCCTAGGTTTCAACCTGAACAATACTGTCACACTTTCACTAAAAAACAAGATATTGGCTCATGCCTTCTTCTTGGTGGCTATGCCATCTGTAGAGACACATTGGCCTCCCAGATCCTTGACTTTCTTATCTCTTCTGACTTCTCTTCCCTCCCCTTTAGCAATTCACTCCCAGGTCTACACCTAGGACTTTGACATCTCCCCAAATTGCTCAATCTCTAAACATTTCAAAGACTCGCTACCCACCAAAAAATCCTCTTCCTCTATTCTTTCTGGAGCTCCTTTCTCAGGCATCATCATGTGGCTGCCCCCTTAAGGCCACATCACAGTTCATCTTCTTGTTTTTAGTCCTCATCCCAAATAAATTTTGATTTTTGAACTCTAGTTTTTGAACTTTCAAGTAAATTAAGATTTTTCAGATGTTCAACTATCTTATCTAAAACTGAAGAATTCTGCATTAAGATTCACTTCCATAACTCTAAGGCAATGTTCTCTTCTCAAACAATAACGGTTTTTACTGAGTTTAATGAACTTAGAAACACAGGGATGAGGATAATGTGCTTTAGGAAGATATTAACACATAAGGACTGAGACACAAGGCTGAATTGAAAATATGGTGAAGCCCTGAAACAACCTGGGAATGAATTTGGCTCAGAAGCCTCCTTTTAGAGAACCACTACCTGGTTTCAGGTAATAGCAAAGGTAATTTTAGCCCGCAGCCACCCTGAAGCCTTGGATATCACCTTCTTTATGCAATTAGAGGCTTCTTTCCATGATTCTGCTGCTGGATTTTTTGGTGCTTTTTCTAAGGAAAAAGCCTTTAGTTCCCATTTAGTAAAGGAAGACTGACCAAGATACCATTGACTCTGTTTTAGAGTAGTATTGCAATCACTCCTAATACAGGGCCTGGGCTATAGTAGACACTCATTAAATATCTGTTTGAATGAACTATGTTACCATTAACTGTGTTGACATTGTCAACTGTTTTTGTCAGTGTTGTGTTAACTACTGATAGAAGCAAATGGTGTAATTAAGAGGGTTTTGGAATCAGTCAGGCCCAAGTTGAAATTCCCAGTCTGTGATTTAATTAATGGTGTGATCATAGACAACATAGTCTCTGTGAGTGTCAGCTTTCTGAGATAGTGTATGTAAAGCTCTTAGTACAGTGTCTAGCACTCAGTAAACATTTAAGAAGTGTTCCCTAGTGTTTAATTATGCAACTATACTGATGCTATCTTCTGCTTCTCCTTTCAAGTTGGGGACTCGCTTTATTATAGAAGCCATGGAGGCAGCAGGGCACTCGATCAGTACTCTTTTCCTGTGTGGAGGCCTCAGCAAGAATCCCCTTTTTGTGCAAATGCATGCGGACGTTACTGGTAAGTCTGGGAAGGAGGAGACAAGGTCATTTTTGGCTTGGCAGCAAATGGGCATGGCCCAGTTCTGGGTGAGGTGAGATTAGGAGGATATATGTGGTATGCTAGATTATTAAAATAACCCCGAAGTCTTTATATTCAGGATGGAGAAAATGACTTCTATGTATATCCAACCATTGAATAATGGTGAGAAATAACACAAGAGAAGTTGGCCAGGACTAGATCTTAATTCAAGCGTTTACACAACAGTTTTGAGTACCTCTTCTGATCCACATATTGTGGAGGATATTGAAGATATGAACATGAATAAAGATATTGAAGATATGAACATGCTCCCCACCACCCAGGAACTCAGGGTCTATTGAGGAAGGGAAACAGCAAACAGGCATATTAAAGATAGTATGGCAAAAGCTCAGAGTGAGAAAAGTACAGGGTATCATGGAAACATAGTGAGGCACCTCGTCTGGTTTGGGACCTAATGGCAGCTCAGGGCATGTGGTCTGGAAGAAGTGATAAGAAAGCTGTCTTGAAGAAAGAATGCAGAGACTGGATGCTGTAGGATCTGTGGGTCTGGTTGCAGACTGAATTTGAGCCCTAAGACCCTGCAATCCTGTGATTCCTTCTCAGCTCATCAGAATCAGGGATCATAATAGAGGTGCAGAGAATCACAAATAATGGGCTGAGCTCTTTCTGATATCAGCAGATAGTGGAGGAGAAGGATCCTTATCAGAGCCCCTAGAACCCAAGGAAGGGGCCCCATTGGCAGGAGGCTTTCTCCAGGAGGTCTTCCAGGAGGACGAGGAGGCATCAGGTCCAGAGAGACAGAGGTCCAGGCCCCTTTTACTCCTTGCCCCTCTAGTGTCTCCTGGGGACTGGTGTTCTCTCCCAGGACCCATCCCTGGGTGGACAGGTACCACCAGGGCAGGGCAAGATGAGGGAAAGTAGGAGAGGATTGTACCCGTCCCGTAGTCCCAACTGCAGCCTGATAAGAGCCCACTTGATCCTACCTACATTTATCATGATCCTTTCTTATCTGTCATCCCCTACTTTCTTACCTCTGACTTCTGAGCAGGTCAAAGTCCCTGCCCCATTATATCCTTGTTCCCCCTCCAAGCCACGCAGATTCCTGCACATGAGAGCCTTGTCTAACACGATGGATGTAATTGATCTCTGCACATCATGAGATGAAACTAAGTAAGTCATTTATTCCCAGCCTAGAGATAAGCAGACTGAGGCACAAGTCTGAGGACAGTAAGAAAAGCATACGGTCTAAGGGCAGAAATATTGGGATGTGAAATATAGAAAGTATTACCATTAACCAAGCCCCTACTATGTGTCAGTGTGAATCACGCTGTGGACACTTAATCCTCCCATGCCACCAAAGGGTAGAAATTGGTGCCCTCATCTTACAGACAAGGAAGCTGATTGGTGGGTAGGTGAATTAAATCGGCTATCTAAAGTCAAACAGGCAGTACGGGGCAGGACCAATATTGTAACCGTGGTGTGTCTGGGCCCACCGTCCCTTTATATTGTACTGCTGACCCAGGTTTCTCGACTTTTCTGCCAAGTTTATAACCGTTTGATGATGACCCCTCTTTCCTGAGGTGTCCAAAACCCTACAGAAGTGGGCCCTTCAAAGCAGAAGGAGGAAAGACATAAAAAGAGCCCAGATTGCCTTATAATTGCCCTCAGGAGAAAAACCATAACATTTTATCTAAAAATCAGTTGACTGGTTCAGATAACTTTCAAGCTTAAAATTTCATCTGTGACATTCCAATTTCTAGCCTTCTTTTTTTTTTTTTTTTTTTTTTTTTTTTTTTTTGTATTTTTTGGTAGAGACAGAGTTTCACCGTATTGGCCAGGCTGGTCTTGAACTCCTGACCTCAAGTGATCCACCCGCCTTGGCCTCCCAAAGTGCTGGGATTACAGGCGTGAGATACCGTGCCCAGCCCCAATTTCCAGCCTTCTGATAGCCAAAAAGCTTCCTATCTGGATGCAAGAGGAAAGATGAAAATCAGCTTTGGACAACATAGTACTCTAGAAAATGGGAAACAGGGCCTCCCAGAGCAGAACAGCTAGCTGTGAGTGACCCCGGTACTGACTCGGCACTGCAGCCCTGGACTTTGTGAAAATGGGTCATCTTCCAGGCCCTACATCGCTGGGCTGACTCAGAAGCACGGGCGGGGGGGAGGGGGGGGGTTGTGGGGAGCGCAGCGGCTTCACAGAAAGTTCTGCTTTGGAGACTGTTCTCCTCTAGGCTGTTGAATGAAAAGGCTGTTAATCGTTATTTGGATTCCGATTGAAACTGGACCTTTTGTCTCTAACTATGGACCAGTTACAGTTCCAGACAAAGGGACCTTTTCTTTAGCCTGGAATTCCTCTGCCTTTGGGAGCCTGTGACTGACAAGTGATGGCAAAGTGCATCTGCCTTTGAATGCTTTGGGTTCTGCTAAACTCATTAATGCATCAGATAAAATAGTTCACATTCCAGCCAAAGCCGCCCTCTTCCTCTCCTTCACCCAGCACTCAGAGAAAAGAACACATTTGCATTTGTCCCTGTAAAAGGCACGTACACAAGCAGCCAGTATAGAGGTAGTGTCATTGGTGCCTTTAAACATTGTATTGCTCTAGTTTTCCTACAGAGACACAGTTAGGGAGGACTGTTGACCTGGAACATGATTCTCAGAAATGCATGTGAAAAACACATTGGAATTTGGGAGATTTTTTTGGAGATAGCATGGAACAGTGGAAGAAGCAGATCAGCTCTGTGACTTTGGGCAAGTTACTTTACCTCTCTGAGTCTCAGTTCCCTCTTCTGAAACAAACAAACAAACAAAATTTTCATCTCCCTCATGTAGATCACTGCTGAGGAATAAATGCTCGCAAGTTTGTGAGCATCAAACTCTGTGCCTAGACCAAGTAGGTGATCAGTAAATGTTAGTTCTCTTGTTCCATCTAGGAAGCCCCATGCCAAAAAGAAATTTGAGGGGAAAATAAAGCAATTTATTATTTTGAAAGTGAATCTTTGCCATGTTGAGAACAGCCTGCTCTGTACAAGCAGGGAGAGCAGGGCTTTGCCAGCTTGGGGAATGTTGTCTACATGAGGAGGAAGAACCTCCTTGTACCCCGGTCATTTGGTTAACTGTGGTTTCAAGAAATACTTGGTATGTACTAAGTAATTGTAAGTTTGCCCCACTGACTTGGGACTAAATGTTCCTTCTTCTAAGTTTTATTTTTTAGTACTGGTAGTTTCAGTAGGGGTTTCCCTCTTCTGGTCTTACTCATTATTTTAATTATTTGTTCTTTCATTTATTCACTCAAAAGCATTCTCTGAGCACACCAGCGCGCCAAGCCCTGAGGTTGGCACAGGGATGCTAAGAAGAACAGTCATGTCCATCCAAGAGGTTCTTTATAAAACACAGAAAAAGTGCCCTTGGTCTTATGACCAATATCCAGAGTGAGTAGAGTGGGGACCCAGAGGATAAGATGTGTCAGTGTCAGTCAGGTCCAGGCAGAGAACAGATACACCCTCCAATTAGGTTAACTGGAGGGAAGTTGAATAAAGAGTCAGTGTACAGAACTGTGGGCAGGGTGCTGGAAGCCCAGACAACCAAGAAGTACCTTAGGATACTAACAGCGTTTCCACCCCTGGGCTTGAAAGGGTGAGGGTAGGGAGCAGGCAATCTGAGCCTGGTGGGATGTGTGAAGAGGGCAGCCCAGTAGAAGCTTAGTCAAGGATGTACCCAGAGGGCAGGAGCCCACAGCTGTGATCCCCACTGGCCAGTCTCCCAGGCACAGAGTAGGTGGAGGGAGGAAGGGAAGAGGTCGGATTGGTCTTAGAGGCAAATGGAAGCAGTGGGTTGATTTCACCCTGGGTAACAGGTGTGAGGAGAGACTTCAGAAGTAAGGTAAACTTTAAGAATAACAACTAATGCTAATTTAGTGCTTTCTCTAAGCCAGGCACCATTTCAAGAGCCTTATTATAATAACAATTTTAGTTCTCACAGCAGCTCTGAAATAGGTGGAATTTTAACCCCATTTTTCAGATGAGAAAGCTGAGGCACAGAAAGGTTAGGTAACTTGCCTAGGTTCACACAGCTAAGTCAGTGGGGAAGCCAGGATTCAAACTCTGGCAGTCTGGGTTCAGAGCACTTTGGGCAGCAACTTGAGAGCTGATAGGGGATTCACCAGGTTCACTTAGGTCTCTGGTTCGCAAGGGGAGGGGCCTGTGAGTAGTTCCTCCCTGCTCACAACTCGAGGAGCTTTTGGCAGGGTAGGAAGGCCTGGGAAGTAAATGGTGTTTGGAGGCACTGTCTTCAAAAACTCCCCAGGTCCATAGGGTAGGCTGGGTGGTCACAGTCACACACCCATCTGTACCATTCCTCGGATTCTTCAAAGGCTTGAGCGCTCTCTCCTGCTGGGGTCAGCACAGCCCTTCAGTGTGGCCTGGCATCTGTCCTTCCCCTCTGGATGGTTGATGGGAACCTTTACTGTCCCTTCTCTACTTACCCAGTTTTTAGCCCAGGTCTAGTACATGCAGAGAGGCTTCACTTGCTGTCCACCTGAATTCTAACAGTAGCAGCCATCATTTCACCAGGGCTTACTGTAGGCCAGGAAATGTGCTAAGCACCAACTATGTGCCCTCTCATTAAGCCTCACAACACACCTGTGTGGTACATCTTATGATCATTCCCATTTTGCATTTGGGGAAACCAAGGCTAAAAGAGTGTAAGTGACTTGCTGGACACAGAGCTAGTGGAACCAGGAAACAAACTCTGGTCTGAGCTTCTCCCAGCATTCCCACCCGACACCACGTTGGCAGTGCCTTAAGCCCCGGCCCAGATGAGGGCTGGTATTTCTAAATTCTCTGGGGTGTCTGTGGGAATTTGGTCCCCTGCCCTCTTTCTCTGGGTAGCTGGAGGAAAGAACTGAGTGGGGAGGTAATGGGATGTAGAGAGAGTACCTCAGGAAAATCTCAGACAAGATAGGAAAAGAAATTTAAGCTTTGGGAAAATAACTCTTACGGCTTGACTACAAGAAGGTTTTACACCACAAGGGTACCTCTGTAAAGTTTGCTGCCATCTCCGGATTAGCAGACCAATCTATACATTATAGACCTAAGAATCCTAAATTATTTCTATTAATCTTAAACCTACCATGAACCCTCAACCTCTGGGCCTTAGCATACGGAGGGCTCCTCCCTGCCTGGTGGACCCCTGCTCACCCTTCAGATGCCTGTTTAAGCCTCGTCTCCACTGTGATCTGTGATGACCACTACCCCAGAAATGTGTTCCCTCATCATTCAGTCATTCACCGTGTGCTAGATACTGGTCTAATACCAGGGATTCAGCAGTAGACAAAACAGGGTCCCTCCCCTCATGTAGCTTAAGTTCTTGCAGGGGAGACAGACGTTAAACAAGTAAGTAAAATACAATGTTGGAATGAAGCAAAATACAATGTTGGGATGAAGCAGTTAAGGGGGTAAGAAATATTGAGGGAAGTTGTAATTTTAAATCTGATGGCCAGGGAATGCTCAGTAGGAAGGTGATGTTTGCAGAAACACTTGAAGGAGGGGCCGGCAATTAGCATGTGGGCATCGAGGAGGAAGTGTTCCAGACAGGGAACAGCATGGGTTAGGGCCCCGAAGCACACTCAGGAAGCAGCAAGGAGGCCAGGACTATGTGGCTGGAAGGAGAGAAGGAGGATATCAGAGGGGGAGAAGTGGGGCCAGATCTGGGAGGGAGGGCCCCTTGTCAGCCACTGTAAGGACTGTGGCATGTACCCTGAGAGAGGGGAGAAGCCCCTGGAGGGATGAATCATACCCTGTCTTGCTACCTCCTTCCCTTAGCACATCTCAGTTAAAGAACCAACCCCCTGGTTGGAGAGAGACTAGCCTTCCTCTCTGTCATCCATCTCTTTCTGAAACCTGAATAGCAGGGCACAGTGCGATTCATCTCAGTATTCCCTAGGCCAGCAAAGCACTTAATAAATATCTCTGGATCTGAACTTGAATCAAATGGCAGGTAGCAGCTTGCAGAAGCCTGAAAAACCTGGGCACTGAGGTCTCATGAGTTGATATATATGGTGTTGGCTCCCTTGGGCCCTTGGCTACTGCACCAGCAGGCACAGGCAGTGAAATCTTTTAGAACCAAATAATCCCAAGGAACAAGGAAGGGAGGACTGTGGGGAGTCAGGAGGGGGGCTGCTGCTGCCTGATGTCAGGTGTTTTTGCCACTGTGGCTGCTTGCTGGCTCCTCATACTCCCCTGGCTCTGCTCCCTAACCAAGGTGTGGCCTTGTCCTGCGCAGGCATGCCTGTGGTCCTGTCGCAAGAGGTGGAGTCTGTTCTTGTGGGTGCTGCTATTCTGGGTGCCTGTGCCTCAGGGGATTTCGCTTCTGTACAGGTATGTGAAGACCAGGGGGTGGGCTGTGGCTCCTCCCCTGTCTGAGGCCAACCTTCCTCTTGACAGCAGCTCGCATTTTACAAAACACACACAGGATATAATTAAGAAATGATAGGTTCCAGCCAGGGAAAGCACAAACACTTCTAGCCTCAGACATATTTATTGCAGTTTTCATTTGACTTGGCCTCAGCTCGTGTTGGTCGTTCTGTTTTTCAGTTGTTTTTGTTTTTTATTTCTTCTTTAAAATACCTTTTAAATTATTCCTTTTAAATTTCCCCTTGACCACTTTTCTTTGAGCACATGAAACAGGTAAGCCTCAAAACCTCAGTTTTTCGTGTGTATTTCAGATTTTTAAAAGCTTATGGCAATCCCACCATTTTCCAAATACCTTTAAGGCCTCTATCAACAAGAGATACAAATGACAATGTTAGTATTAAATAAAAAAGGAATTAAAAGGGAAAATAAGGAACAAAGATATAGGAAGAAGGAAACAATTTGGTGGCTGTGATTAAACACATAATTTGGCTCAGAGCTTCCTGGCAGCCAAGACAAAAAAGAACACATGATAAATTGCATAATTCTTATTTTCAAAAAGAGGAAACATACTAGTTTCTGGTGAGAGGCAGAACTTTCCCTCCTACCAAATTGCGAAAGACTCTGCACACATGGGGCTTTGTGGAGAGGTTCTGAGTGCTGAAATAATACAAGATAAAGAACGAATGTGATGTGGAGGCTAGGAGCGTACAGGCTCTGGCATTAGACCACCTGGGCTCAAATCCTGGCTTGACTACCTGCCAGCTCTTGTGGCCTAAACACTCTTCTCTGTACCTCCACTTCTTTATCTGTAATAGTAATTAACAGTACATCGTGAGTTCTTTCTGTGTATCAAGCATGCTCATTTAGTCCCTGCAACAACTCTATTATCACCATTTTATGGTTGAGGAACCTGAGGCATAAAGAAGTTAAATAACAGCCTAAATGAAACGGCTAGTAAATGCCAGAATCAAGAAGTCTAGCTCCCACTTCTCAACTGAACGTTCAAGAGATATTTGTTCAGCTAAGCAGCAGAGTGTCCAAATGACTTGCTCATGGTCTCAAGGTTAGGACTACAATAGCCAGGTAGCTAGTAGCTCCGTAATTAGAGTTTCATTTATTGTGAACCTCTTAATGTGCCAGACACTGTGCTAGGTGCTTTTTGTATAATCTTCCTAATACCTATAACAATGCTTCATGAACCACAGAGATTGGGCAATAGAGATCCAGAAAGCTTACAAAACTTAAGGGTACACTGTTAGGAACAGACAGATTTAAAACTGTGATGTTGTTTGTACTGCATTTTGGAAAATGTGGTACAGTACACACTATCCAAGCCTCTGAAACTAATGACTGTGAAATCTCCCTCACAAGGAATTAAATCCACTCATGAATTCTTGTGGGTTCTCAGTGAATCTTTAAACAAAGATGGTATAGTTTAATTCTTGACTTTTTCTGGATAGTCTCGTCCTGTCTCAAAAATAGCACATGGAGATATTTGTTGTCGAAATATCAGTAAATGGTCAATTATTATTTTAGTGTATCAGTGTAGGAGATGTTCTCACAATTAGGTATCTTGCACTTCCTGTGACAAATTATAAAAGTTAAAACGGGAGGGATGCTTACTAAGGTTCTGCAGAGGTTGCCCTGTGTTGTGAACTGAGTATTTGTATTCCTGCAAAATTTGCCCTGACCCTCAATGTGATGGTATATGGAGGTGGGTCTTTGGGAGATAATTAGGGTTAGATGAAACCATGAAGGCAGGAGCCTAATCTCATGGGTTATGAAGGTCTGATGGGCCCTTATACAAAGACACCAGAGAGCTTCCTTATTCTCTCTGCCATGTGAAGACACAGCAAGAAGTCCATTTCTACAGGCCAGAAGAGGGCTCACACTAGACCCTGACCTTGCTGGCACCCTGATCTCAGACTTTGAGCCTCCAGAACTGTGAGAACACAGATTTCTGTTGTTTAAGTACCCAGTCTATGGCATTTCGTTATAGTAGCCTGAGATAAGACACCTCATTTAATCTTGACAGTCATCCTGCTTGCAGGATGCATGTTTTTATCCTTCCGTGATAGGAAACCAAGTTTCAGAGATGTTTGAAGTAATTTGTCCAAGGCTACACAGAAAGGGTAGAAGCAGAATTGAAATGAAGGTCTCTCTGGGTCTATATCTTATCCTGATTGTCATTCTTTTTCTAATGTGTTCGATTGTTTTTTCTTTAAAAATATTTTCTGACTTCTTAAGTGTTCAGTGGTGTATTTTCTGAAAAGAAATGCCATAGGTCACAAATCAGGAGATAGTCTGTAGCTCAAACAGAGAATAGCATGTCAAGATGAGGCTGCTATACCAGGTGCTTCATACCATGACTTATGGCTTCATTGATATCTTATTCAAAACTGGGATCTCCAGCTCTAAAGGAATTCCATTTACATCTTCCCCTAACTGGAAGCTGAGCTTAACTCCACACTGACATCTTGGCTACGTGAGATTTGCTGTTAGTCTTCTGGAACAGAATCTAAGATATGGTAGATCAGATTTGGAACTGATGACTTGAGTAGCAGCTGCAAGGCTCACAGCGTTGTAAAGACAAGCTCATGTCTCCTATTCAACCCAAGGATGAGTGTGCCTGTCCTGATCGTTTTCAGGAGACACAATCTAGTAAAGGGAGCCCCCAGCTGAGAGAGGCCTGAGGTTTTATCTGTCGTCACTTACCTGACAGAATCCCCATAGGCTGGAGTTCTGTGCTTGCTTTACTATCCTCAGACAATGTCATTTGTTCTCTCTGGGTACTTGTTTTATTTGTCTGTTTTATGTATTTTTTTTTTTAATGTTTAAATAAGAATTGCCACCCATATGGGACTATTGAGATAAAGAGCCTTTGAAGGTTCCAGTGACCTCTCAGGTGTAATCAATGTCATTAGAATGATAAAATGTTTGGAACTGCTTTGAAAATGAAAATGTATGTAGACTTAGCATCATTTGCTCCACTCCAAAGAAGAGGGGCTGACCTTTGTGCCTCAGGTCTGGGGACCAGCTCCAGATTCTGGCAAGGTCAGGCAAAACTGAATTGCTTTCTTTCTGTGATTCATATTTTCAACCTGAACTTCAACACAGTCTTTTCTTTGAACTTCAGAGACCCTGGCTTGGTTTGCAGGGTGCCTGCCTTTCCTTTCTTCAGAAAGTTGAGCAATTCCTGCCAGCACCTCAACTGTTCCAGCAAGTCAGATGTTTTGTCTTCTCATGGACCACACATCTGGTGGTTAGATGGAGGATTTCACTTCTTATCTAGATAGGCCGATTTTGGTAGACTCAGCCAGAGTCACCTCCTTCAGATGCTGGGAAGGCTGGGGAGAATCCAGAGGACCCAGACAATAGAGGTAGGGAAAAGTTTTATATGCTTGAGGAGACAAGGTTTCCGAATTTCATAGGCCCCTGAATGGATGATTTTCAGCCAGGGGTGGAGTCCTATACCTTTCTTGGGTGATATCAATGGATCCACAGCTGTAGATTTTGCTTGTAGCTATTGTAGACTCTGTGTATGTCAATTCTGGGAGAATTTTATCAGGGAAAGGGAGACTGGATGGAATTTTCTGGTGAGGCCTTAATGAAAGATTGGCCAACAACAAGATCTATTGATATTGCAAATTTTGAAACATGCTGACAATTCCTAGCTTCCTTGTTCTGTTCTTTTATCCATTCAGATTCTCCTTCTCTTAGTTTGTCTCCGTCTCTCTTCCCCTGTCCTTTCCTGCTTTCTCTCCCTTTAGACATCTAAAGTCTTCTTACTATTTCTTTGTCAAATTCGGATCTCACAAAGGAGACTGATACACCCATTCGTTCATTCTAAAGAACACAATGACTAATGCTATCTTAAAGAACTGTCCCTCTTTAGAAAGGGTGTTTTCCTTTTAGTAGTTTTCAAAACTGTGTCTTTACTGAAGAGTACAATCTCCTTGAGGACAAATATTCTCGAAGGCAAATCATGATCACCTTTATATCTGCAGTGTAATGAATAATATGGAATCAAGCCACAGATATGCTGCTCTTACGGTAAAAGTTTAGCTATTGAATAGGTGGGAGGGGACACAAAGAAGGCAGTCCACTTCCCCTCCCTTTACCCTTAGGAATGTGGAATCCCTGTAGTCTTGACCTCTGTGACCTTTCTACTTGATCCCTCCCCCATCATCAGTAGAGTACAAAATGATCCTCTATAATTCTGAATATCTTGGAAAACAAATAATTATAATTAGAAGCTGAGAGTGTTCCATAACACTTCTCTAGGCTCCCAGGTCCTGGAAAATCAACAAACTGGAAAAAAACTAAGTTTATGAAATATCACTATGCTTACACTTTCTAAACACAGACAGTTAAAAGATTCTAAGAAATACAAGGACAAATAAATAAAACAAGAAGCAGTTTCAAGTCATTGTGAGAGAAAACCCAATCAAATGGCAAAGAGACAGCAACATGAAATGACCCTCCACTTTCTGTTTCCTTTAGGCCCCCTGCAGATGTCATTAACTTTCTGTAATTTCTTATCTTCAGGGGCAGTTTTTATTCAAGTCTTTTTAGACAAAACAAGCTTTAATTCCAGCAGTGCTATTTGTCTTGAACCACTACCCCTCACCCTTGAAAAGAAGGAGTGGAGGAAGCATCTGAAGCAAAAATCAGTAAAAGGAGACAGTGACAAGAGATCAAAATGCATTCAGCAGTCAGTTTAAGGGGAGTACCAGTGTAAAGAAAATAAGCCCTTGGAATCAGCCAATTAATCACAGACCTTCCTTCCTCCCACTGTGTGAGCGTTGCCACCCCTGTAAATCACTGACTCCATGCACTCCCACCATCAACTTTCCCTGTCACGTTCCAGACAGACTCCTGTGTCTTCAAGACCAATACATATAAGTGGCCAGTTGAGAGCTGTGATTACTCACCCTTTCTGTAATGTGTGCCCACAAGATAAA